ACCTGATGATGAACAGATAAATAAAACGTGGTATACCCATACAAGAGAATACTAGTCACTCAGACAGAAGAAAGAGGCACTGACACGGGGATGAACTCTGAAAACATTAAGTGAAAGAAGGTAGACACAAGAGGTCACACATTATGATTCCATTTATATGAAACGTCTAGAATAGGCAAATCCATAGAAAGATACATACCAGTAGTTGCCTAGAGCTGGGGGAATGGTTACAGAGAAATGCGAAGTGATTATTAATGGTCATAGGGCTTCTTTTTGGAGTGCTGAAAATTTCTGGAATTGGGGACAGTGATGATGGTTGCATAACTTTGTATGTTAAAAGCCAATGAACTGTACGTTTAAGATGAGGAATGGTTTGTAAATATAAATGCCAATAAGAAACAAAACAGAGATGATTTAACTTCAAATAAATACACAACTCTACACAGCAAAACAGGACAGGAACACCAACAATGATTTTGTCTGAGTGCAATACTGGCCGGGGAGACTCTGGAGCTTATGTTGTGTTACACCCTGCCCAACCACCGGAACACTTGGCCTATGAAATAACCACTGATAACAGATAAGAATGCAACATAAGAGTTTTTTCCAATGTCAAATCCATTAAGGGTGTAGATTAAAATGAAATGTTATTCAAGCTAGACAAGTCAACAACTCCAGCCCAGGTGCTGTCAAGCAGTGGGGTGTCCAAAGGGGAATCAGAACCAGTTCCCACCCCTAAGAAGCACATAGGGAAGAAAGTCATGGGGACAAATCAGTTACACTATGGCATAACAATGTAACCAAACAAAAGCTCTGAGTACAGGGAACAGGGGTGGCGCAAAGGTAATATGAAGGGGTCTTTATATTGCCACATCTTAGTGTTAGTCCTTTCTGTTTCGCTGTAACACAGTGTCTGAAGCTGGGCAATTTACAAAGGAAGGTTTATTTAGCTCACAGTTCTGCAAGACGGGAAGCATGAGAAACAGGGTGCTGGGCTTATGGTGAGGGTCACATGCTAAGTCAAATTACAGCAGGAGAAGGTGCTCCATCAAAACATGGTGGGAGAAGGTCAATGGCAAAGCGGCCACATGCCATGAGGGAGGAACTTCCACTTTATAACAACCTAAGGTCTCTGAAACTAAGCCAGTCTCACCACAGCTCACAGAGCTCACTCACTACCTCCAGAATGGCACCAAGACACTCACGAGGGCTCCGCCCCCACGGCCCAAACACCTCCCACTGGGCCCCACCTCCCAATACCACCACCATGGGGAACACAACCTGAGTTTTGGTGAGGCCAAACTCAAACCAGAGTACCATATAAAGCAAGTCTTCATCACCACAAAGTTTAGTACAGAACTGGGCACTGTGCGCACTCCATAAATACTGACTGAGGAGCCCTTTTCAGGCTCTATTTTCAAATTGTGCTGACATGGAATATCCCTAGCAATAATCAGTGACTGAATTTAACACCGAGGTTGTATTCTATGAAGAAACCATCAATGAAACTTCTTCTCCTCTGCATATCTAATCCAAGCTCTGCGTGTCTATCATTCAAGGAATAATGTAAGAGATACTAATTCACAACACTTAAGTTGAGTACTCCGCATCTTGGAGAATTAGCCTTTATGTCTGACAACACGAGCACTTTTCAGTTGCTTTATCATCAGCCTTATTCCTCCGGGCATAATACCTGAGAACTCATCTCTCAACACATGAGAATCTCTTTCCCAGGAACCTCACCGTGAAAGCAGTACTTCTGTCTCTGATCTTTAACGGTAGCAGGAACAGAAAGGAACACCTGTCCTGTCAGACTCCCTCACAGCACAATAATGCCCAGGTGTCACCAGGCAAATCTTCAGAGTACCAAAGAGTATGTACCACCACTGCCCCCGCCTCCCCTCACAAATTAATCAGCTACAGCTGTCAGCACAGAGAACTTCCTTATATATCAGCATCTGAGTGACATTTACAGGGACGATAGTGTCACTCCAAAGGAAGGCCTCTGGGTAACACTTCTGACATAAAACTGCAAGCTCACAACGCAGATCCCTACCTAGAACTGTACGTCTGAGTCCAATATTCAAAAGCAGCAAAAGAAAAGGGGTCAGGCTAGGCGGGGGTGGCTCTAGCACTTTGGGAGGCCAAGTGGATTGCTTGAGGCCAGGAGTTTGAGACCAGCTTGGCCAACATGGTGAAACACCATCTTTACTAAAAATACAAAATTTAGCCAGGCATAGTGGCGGGCACCTGTAATCCCAGCTACTCAGGAGGCTGAGGCAGGAGAATCACTTGAACCCTGGAGGCAGAGGTTGCAGTGACCTGAGATCACGCCACTGCACTCCAGTCTGGGCCACAGAGAGAGACCCTGTCTCAAAAAAAAAAAAAGAAAGAAAAGAAGAAAAGGGATCAGAGCTTGGCAAAACAGGGAAATGGATACAATGTAGGAAACTGAAAAAGGACCTACCGCAGGGCAGCGTGGCATGACCAGAGCGAAGAAATTGATCTAAGACTGGCAAGGGAGCCTCAAAGAGTAAAAGTCATGAATGCAGGCACTATTATTCCCCCCTTCCACGCCCTTTTTTTTTTTTTTTTTTAAAGACAGGGTCTGTCACCCACGCTGGAGTGCAGCGGTGCACTCACAGCTCACTGGAGCCTCAACCTCCTGCACCAAGCAACCCACCTTGGTCCCCCGAGTTGCTGGGACTACAGTCGTGAACCACTGAGCCCAGATAATTTAAGAAAACAAAAATTCGTAGAGACCAGGAGCTGTGGCTCAGGCCTGTAATGCCAACACTTTAAGGGGACGAGGTGGGAGGATCGCCTGGGTCCTGGAGTTCAAGACCAGCCTGGGCAAGACGATGAACCCCACCTCTCCAGAAAATTTTTTTTTTTTTTGAGATGGAGTCTCGCTCTGTTGCCCAGGCTGGAGTGCAGTGGCCACTCTCGAATCACTGCAAGCTCCGCCTCCCAGGTTCCCGCCATTCTCCTGCCGCAGCCTCTCGAGTAGCTTGGACTACAGGCGCTCGCCACCACGTCCGGCTAATTTTTTGTATTTTTAGTAGAGACGGGGTTTCACCGTGTTAGCCAGGATGATCTCCATCTCCTGACCTGGTGATCCGCCCAACTCAGCCTCCCAAAGTGCTCGGATTACAGGTGTGAGCCAACGCGCCCGGCCGCTCCAGAAATTTTAAAAAATCAACCATGGTGCTGTAGTCCCAGATACTTGGGAGGCTGAGGCGGGAGGATTGCTTCAGTCTGGGGCTGCAGTGAGCTGTGTTTGTACCACTGCACTCCGGCCTGGGCGACGACGCAAAAGCCCGTAGCTAAAAAAAAAAAAAAAAAAAAAATTAAAAAAAAATTGTAGATCGGAGGGTCTGCTACACTACCCAGGCTGGTTTCCACCTCCTGGACTCAAGCTTCTCCCGCCTCGGCCTCCCTAAGTGCTGGGATCGCAGGCGTGAGTCCCCGCACCGGCCTATCTCCCCTCACAGTGAAGACGCTGAGCTGACTACTTCAAGGGCGCTGGGATAGCAGGAGGCCAAGCCAGGTTCCCGTGGCCGACCCAGGGACCTCAACCACCACCCGTACACCACCGTGAGGCTGAGGAACAGAGTCACCTAAACAGTGAGAGCGATTATTGGACACGTGAACCTTTCCTTGAGACAGATCACGGCCATGGTTCTGTCCACACACTATCATTATGTCAGCAACATGTATCAGGTCCTGTGTGTGTATCTAGAGGGATGGCTACCAACAGAGGAAGAGCCTCCCGCTGACAGCAGGCTCTAATATGCAACGAACACAGAGTCCCTGCTCCGAAAATGTGACATTCTTAATAATAATAGCTAATTGTGCCAGTCCTGGAATGCCCGCAATGGCCCCATTCAGCAGACGGGAACACGGAGACTCGGAGAGCTTAGGCAGCCCGACTCCAAAACCCGTCCTTGCGACAACATCGTGCTCGTGCTGCTGACTCAAAACTACAGACGCCTTCGTTCCGTGCTCCCGGGACACGAACGCGGGGACAAGGACGGCCACCAAGCCAACATGACCTTCGAGGCTTCAGCCGCCCCGGTGAAGCGCCAAGACCCGGCTCTACTGGAGCTGCGCGTTTTCAAAACTCGAATCCCACCGGCAGGGCTGGGCGCAAACCGGCGCTCAGAGGTCGGCGAAGAGACAGCGCTAGGGGCCGGGGCCCTCGGCAGGGACGGCCCGCGTGCGGCGGCAGGGCGGGGGCCAGTGACCTTGACGCCCGCTCTTCCGAGCCGGAAGTGGGCCCGAGGCCGGGTGGAGGGCGCCGGGCGCCCAGGTAGGACTCACCGTCCGGAGGCAGGGCTGCTCGCCCGGGCCCACGCCGCCAGGCACGCGCAGCTGCTGTAGGCCGCGGGGCCAGCAGCCGCCCCAGCCCCACAGCCGCAAACAGCGGTGCGCCATGGCCGCCGCCGTGGCCCTCTCGGCCCGGGACGCTGCGCAGGCGCGGGCAGGCGACGACTGGTGGCCTCGGGAAGCAGGCTCCGGGGAGAGGCCGCCAGGCAGCGAAGCGCGCCCGCGGCTCACGGAGGAGCCCCAGCTCTCAACGCGGCGCCTCCAGCCGCCAGCCCCGCCCCGGCGCGCTGACGTCGGCGTCTTCTCTCCGAGGCCGGCCGCGACCTCAGCCAGTGCAGGAGACTGGACCAAATGGTAGGAGCGTGGGGGCGGGACCGGAGGCGGGAGCCGACGGAGCGGCGTTGGGGGCGCGGCTGGAGGCGAGGCCGAAGAAGGACCTTTGAGGGCTACGGGGAGCTGGAGGCGGAGCCGATGGCGAAGCCGGGACGGAGCCGAGGGCAGACAGGGGAGGGCGAGCGAGAGCTGGGGGCAGGGCCGATGGCGTGCGTGGGGGGCGTGGCTGGAGGCGGGGCCAAGGAAGAACCCGGAGGGCGAGCGGGAGCTACAGGCGAGGCCGACGGAGGAGTGGGGGGGCGTGGCTGGAGGCGGGGACTAAGGGGAGACGCGCGCCTGGGATCCTGGGCTCCCGAGCCTGGGCAGCTGGGTGGGCCAGCCAGTTAGGAGCGAGATGGAAGTAGCGAAGGCCCCAGCGGCGCCAGCTCAGTCATCGGGTGTTGCTACGCTCTGGAGACACCGAAGGACACATTCCTGACCCTGGGAAGTCAATGCGAAGATTCACAAGCAGCAGGGAGTGTTGGGTCCATGCAGCCTGCGCTCTAGGAGCCCTGTCGGGGAATTGGTTCTCGGAGAGCAAGTCGAGTCTTTCAGGCAGTGGAAACTACACATTGTTTCCTGTACCGTGACAGCGGAGGAAAAAAAGAGAGGTCTTTGAACCGAGGTGGGGGATTTGGGGGGTTTTCTGAGACGGGCTCTCGCTCTATCGCCCAGGTTTGCGACGCTGGACCTCAGGCAAAGGACAGTAATCCTTGAGAGACGGGAGACAAACCAGGTGAGTCCTGTGATTACCCCAATGGCAGTAAAACAATAAGAAAAAGATATACCAGAAACATCATCATACCATGCTCGCACAAAAGAAAACTGAGTAGACAGATTTTAGGGCAAGGAAATTCCAAACAAAATTAATTTCAGGGGAAAGAATATCACTAAGGATGAATAGGATTGGGTTTCTTTTCTTTTCCAGAGACAGGGTCTCACTCGGTCACTTAGGCTGGAATGCCGTGGTGCAATCGTAGCTCACTGCAGCCTCCAACTCCTGGGCTCAAGGGATCCTCCCGCCTCAGCCTCCCAAGTAGCTGGGACTACACACGCTCGCCACCACACTCGACTTTTTTTATTTTGCGTACAGATGCAGTCTCACTTTGTTGCTCACGCTAGTCTCAAACTCCTGACTTTAAGCAATCCTCCTGACTTAGCCTCCCAAAGTGCTGGGATTACAGATGTGAGCCACCCACACCTGGCCAAGAGGATTTTTATTATAATAAAGGGGTCAATTCATTAATAGGACATAACAACGTAAACATCTTTGTTCCCATTAACAGAAGCTTAAAATACAGGGAGCAAAGACTGACAGAACAACAACTTCCAATTATATTTGGAGATTTCAAATCCTTCTTTTGATAATTGATAGAACAATTAGACAGGAAAATAGTAAGTATATAAAAGACTTAGACACAATCAACCAAATAAATCGAATAGACATTTATAGAAAACTACTCATAACAACAGAATACACATTATTTTCAAGTTTTCACGGAACACTTATCAAAATAAACCATATTATAGGCCATAAAAATATTAAGAGGAATCAAGTCTTATAAAACTTATTTTCTAACCACAATGAAATTAAATTAGAAATCAGTATCAGAAATAGGCTGAGGTGAGAGGATCACTTGAGCCCAAGAGTTCCAGACAAGCCTGGGCAAAACAGAAAGACCTCATCTTCAAAAAGAAAAAAAGCCAGACTAAGAAAATGAAGTAAAACCAAAGAAGAGAAAGAAGATAAGCACAAAAATCAATAAAATTAAAAACTAAAAGAGAGAAATGAATGAAATCAAAGGATATTCTTTGAGAAGATCAATACTCAGACCAATCAGGAAAAAAGAAAATGACACAAATTGGCCTGGTGCAGTGGCTCACGCCTGTAATCCCAACACTGGGAGGCCAAGGCAGGCGGATCACCTAAGGTCAGGAGTTTGAGACCAGCCTGGCCAACATGGTGAAACCCCATCTCTACTAAAAATACAAAATTAGCTGGACATGGTGATGCACACCTGTAATCCCAGCTACTCGGGAAGCTGAGGCAGGAGATTCACTTGAACCCGGAAGGCAGAGGTTGCAGTGAGCCGAGATTGCACCATCGCACTCCAGCCTGGGCAAAAAGAGTGAAACTCCACTCAAAAAAAGAGAGAAAGAGAGGAAGGAAGGAAGGGAGGGAGGGAGGGAGGGAGGGAGGGAGAGAGGGAGGGAGGAGCTGGGCACGGTGGCTAACGCCTGTAATCCCAGCACTTTGGGAGACCGAGGTGGGTGGATCATGAGTTCAGGAGTTGGAGACCAGCCTGGCCAATATGGTGAAACTGCGTCTCTACTAAAAATACAAAAATTAGCCGGGCATGGTGGCACACACCTGTAGTCCCAGGTACTCAGGAGGCTGAGGCAGAAGCAGAAGAATCGCTTGAACCTGGGAGGTGGAGGTTGCAGTGAGCCAAGATTGTGCCACTGCACTCCAGCCTGGGTGACAGAGCGAGATTCCGTCTCAAAAAAAAAAAAAAAAAAAAAGAGAAAAAAAAAAAAAAAAAAACCCCCACCCCTCAAAAAAAAAAAAAAAAAAATTAGCCAGACATAGTGGCAAGCACCTGTAGTCCCAGCTATTCGGGAGGCTGAGACAGGAGAATAACTTGAACTCGGGAGTCAGAGATTGCAGTGAGCCGAGATCGCACCACTGCACTCCAGCCTGGAGTGCCAGACTCCATCTCAAAACAAACAAACAAACAAAAAAACAAATTACAAGCCGGGCGTGGTGGCTCACGCCTGTAATCCCAGCACTTTGGGAGGCAGAGGTGGACGGATCACGAAGTCAGGAGATCGAGACCACAGTGAAACCCCGTCTCTACTAAAAAAATAAAAAATTAGCCGGGCGTGGTGGCGAGCGCCTGTAGTCCCAGCTACTTGGGAGGCTGAGGCAGGAGAATGGTGTGAACCCAAGAGGCAGAGCTTGCAGTGAGCTGAGATCACACCACTGCACTCCAGCCTGGGCGACAGAGCAAGATTCTGTCTCAAAAAAAAAAAAAAGAAAACCACGAGATTCCACTTCACACTCTAGGAGGGCTGTAATAAAAAATACTAGATAGGAAAAAATAATATAGATATTAAGTATTGTCAAGAGTGTGGAGAAATTGGCACCCTCATGTTAGTAGGACTATAAAATGCTTTGGAAAACTGTCAATTTTCATAGGTTAAACGTAGTCATATGACTCAGCATGTCCACTCCTGGGCATCTTCCCAAGATAATTGAAAGGATATATCCACACAGAAACCTGTACATGTGTTCATAACATATGTACATATGCTGTGTTCATAGCAGCATTATTCATGATCGCCAAAAACGAGAAAGAGCCTAAACATGTTATCAACTGAATGGATGAATGAAATGTGGTGTATTATTACAATGGATTGTTATTAGCCATAAAATGAAGACCTGATACACGCTATAGCATAGATAAACCTTGGAAACAAAGAAATCAGAGATAAAAGACCACATATTATAAGATTGCATTTATACATATGAAATATCCAGAATAGGCAAATCCAGGGAGACAGAAGACGGTGATTAGGGATTGCCAGGGGCTGGGGGGGTGGTTGATAGAGTGTGCAAGACTAATGAAGGTGGCTGCCAGCAGCAGGCAGGATGGTGTGGACCATCTGAGTTTCTCGGTGTGTGCTTTTACACAGTGTTTACCTTTTTGAACCATGTGAAAATATTACCTATTCAAATAAAATATAACACAATCTAAGACTATTAAAGGATGCTATTTTTTTCAGTGCTGAGATTACAAGTACTTTGAAAAAATAATTTTATGACTATGTATATTTTCCAAATATCCTGTAATAAATATGTAATAGTTTTAAGAGCAAGAAAATGTAAAACGTTGAAATATAAAAGGTTCAGGATAAGGATGGGGCCAGGTGCAGTGGATTATAGAATCCCAGCACTTTAAGAAGCCAAGCAGGGAGGATGACCTGAGGCCAGGAATTTGAGATCAGCCTGGGCAACGCAGCAAGATCCCCATCTCTACAAAAAATTTAAAAATTAGACCAAGTGCAGTGGCTCATGCCTGTAATCCCAGCACTTTGGGAAGCTGAGGTTGGCAGATCACTTGAGGTCAGGAGTTCGAGACCAGCCTGGCCAACATAACGAAACCCCATCCCTACTAAAAATACAAAAATTAGCCAGGCGTGATGGCATGCACCTGTAATCCCAGCTACTCCGGAGGCTGAGGCAGGAGAATTGCTTGAACCCGGGAGTGGGGGGTTGCAGTAAGCCGAGATCAAGCCACTGCACTCCAGCCTGGGAGACACAGTGAGACTCTGTCTAAAAAAAGAAAAAAAAAAAAGGCCAGGTGCAGTGGCTCATGCCTGTAATCCCAGCACTTTGGGAGGCCGAGGCGGGCGGATCACGAGTTAAGGAGATCAAGACCATCCTGGCTAACACGGTGAAACCCTGTCTCTACCAAAAATAAAAAAAATTAGCTGAGCATGGTGGCAGGTGCCTGTAGTTCCAGCTACTCGGGAGACTCCATTGTAATAATACACCACATTTCATTCATCCATTCGGTTGATAACATGTTTAGGCTCTTTCTCGTTTTTGGCGATCATGAATAATGCTGCTATGAACACAGCATATGTACATATGTTATGAACACATGTACAGGTTTCTGTGTGGATATATCCTTTCAATTATCTTGGGAAGATGCCCAGGAGTGGACATGCTGAGTCATATGACTATGTTTAACCTATGAAAATTGACAGTTTTCCAAAGCAGGAGAATGGCATGAACCCGGGAGGCAGAGCTTGCAGTGAGCCGAGATCGCGCCACTGCGCTCCAGCCTGGGCGACAGAGCGAGACTCTGTCTCAAAAAAAAAAAAGTAAAAGAAAATTAGCCGGGTGTGGTGATGAGCACCTGTAATCCCAGCTACTTGGGATGCTGAAGCAGAGAATTGCTTGAACCCAGGAGGCAGAGATTGCAGTGAGCTGAGATTGCGCCACTGCACTCCAGCCTAGGTGACAGACCAAGACTCCATCTCAAAAAAAAAAAAAAAAATTAAATTAAAAATTAGCTCAGTGTGCTGGTACATGCCTGTAGTTCAAGCTACTCAGGAGCCCAGAATTCAAGGCTGCAGTGAGCTGTGATTACACCATTGCACTCCAGCCTAGGTGACAGAACAAGACTCTGTCTTTCTAATTAAAAAAAAAGTTCAGTATATTTTTTTTCATCAGTGTGGATGGAAACAAAGTCACAAAATGAAAAGTAAAAGCCTCTTCATTTCTCATGTTCACATCTTAAAGGTAACTTTCTTCTTTTTTTTTTTTTTTGAGATGGAGTCTCAGTCTGTCACTCAGGCTGGAGTGTAGTGGCCTGATCTTGGCTCACTACAAGCTCCGCCTTCTGGGTTCACGCCATTCTCCTGCCTCAGCCTCCCAAGTAACTGGGACTACAGGCACCTGCCACCATGCCCAGCTAATTTTTTTGTATTTTTAGTAGAGACGGTGGGACTTCGCCAGGTTAGCCAGGATGGTCTCGATCTCCCGACCTTGTGATCCACCCACCTCGGCCTCCCAAATTGCTGGGATTACAAGTGTGAGCCATGGAGCCTAGTTTTGTTTTGTTTTTGTTTTGGAGACAGAGTCTCACTGTGTCACCCAAACTGGAGTGCAGTGACTGATCTTGGCTTACTGCAACTTTTGCCTCCCAGATTTCAAGCTATTCTCCT